ATGAACCTAGACCGCATACTTGTTGCATACATAACATCAGGCCTGGTGACAGATAAATAAAGAAGACAACCTATAGGACTTTCAACCTTGCTTTCACCATCTGAATTGCTCAAATTTTCACAAGGAACTAGAGGAGTGCTGACTTCTTTACAATTTTGCATATCAAAGTTAATCAAAACTTCATTTAAGTATCTCTTTTAGCAAAGAAATATACCATGTGCAGATTGAATGATCTCAATTCCCAAGAAATAAGACATTTTGGTCATCTACATAAATAGAAAAATTCAACAATTCACCATTTTTCTCTTTTAAATACAAAGTAGCCTCATTGCAACTTTTGATGAACCACATCCTCTGCAGATGATCATCAACTCTGCAATATCAGGCTCTAGGTGCCTGTTAATGCTTTCTTTAGTAAATAAACTTTCCCTTTATCTTATTTTTGCACAAATCCCTTTGGTTGCTCTATAAAGATTTCTTCTTTCAAATATCCATTTAAGAAAGCAGACTTAACAGCAAGTTGATAAATATCCTAAGATTTTTGAGCTGCAATTGAAATAGGCAATCTGATGGTGTCAAATCTTACTATAGATGCAAATGTCTCTGTGAAATCCATCCATACTGTTGAGAGTAACCTTTCACAACAATTCTTGCTTTGTACTTGTTATTGAGCCATTAACATTCAATTTCAGTCTATAAACCCATTTAAACCCTATAACTTTCTGTTGGTTGGTCTAACAATAAGACACCAATTATTATTTTTTGAAATCATCCCTATCTCCTCCTTCATTGCTGCGTTCCATTCTTGAGATTTTTCTGCTTCTTAATAACAGGTTGGTTCATTTATAGGTAAGTGACATCTACTATATATATCATTCAAGCTTCTTGTTCCTCGAATGGCTATATCATCAACATCTTCTAAGTTATGACCTTCAATTTCTTCGTTCGCTTCTGATTCTTGAGTGATATTCTCTATTGAAATTTGTCTTGAGGTGACAATAATAGATTTCTCCTAATCCCAAGCAGTTTCTCAACAAACTTGATATTTCTACTAACAACAATCTTTTTTTTACTTTAAATTCTAGACTCTATAGCCTTTTGAGTGACTGTTGTAACCAAAAAACACACAAACCTCAGCCGTCTCATTAACTTTATCTCTTTTTACCTCAGGAACTTGAATATAACACAAACAACCGAAAACCTTCAGATGCTTCACTGAAGGCTTAACTCCAAACCACATTTCATATGGAGTTTTTTCTTTTAAGACTTTAATTGGCAACTTATTAAGTAAATACACTAAAGTATTTATAGATTCTGCCCAGAACTTTCTTGGAAGTTGCTTTTTAAACAAGAAACACCTCGCCATATTCATGACTGACCTATTCTGTGACATCCTACCGAGTCGAGTCTTAGCATAGAGTTGAGTAGTCGAGTTGAGTCGAGTTGAACCAAACCCGGTTGGGGTAACCTCGCCATATTCATGGCACTGAACCTTATTCTGTGAAACAATCCTACCGAGTCGAGTCTAGCATAGAGTTGAGTAGTCGAGTTGAGTTCGAGCTTGGAAACCAAACCCGGTTGGGGTAGAAGGGTTATTAAGTGGAGTACTTGAGTGAGAGAAAAGATTTAAAAGCATGTGGGTGAAAAGATTAAAGCACATGGGTGAGGATTGATATGCATTAAAAGATTGAGCTTGGGTATTAAGTTGTAGCCTGTTTACAATTGAGGTACCATTTATGAAGTTTTTCATAAAATCCTTTGATTTTTGATGGCCTACCCGTAATACCCATTTCACTTTCCCATTTTCATCTTTATCTTCATCTTCTTCATTTTCTTCCGTTCCTCTTCCACCTTACTTTCAATTTTAATGGTAGTCAAGCCTTAACTTCAACTTCTCTTTTATCAAAGTAAGTAAACCTTCTTAAAGTTCATAATTGAATCATTTGGTGTTATTATTTTAGAATTCATAAGAAGTCTTATTTATAGGTGAAGGGAGTTCAAAGAAAAAAAGAAGTTAAAAGAGCGGAGCTTCAAGCTTTTGGAGTAAAGGATTGATATCTCTTGTTATTTTCCATTTTCTTTTGCATGAGAATTGTGTGGTGTGTGCTAGTGAGACAATATTGGCTTCATGTTGAGTGGGAGGGACTGGTATAATGGTGAGAAACAGGGGAGAACAGGGTGGGAGAACAGGGGAGGCTATTGAATAAATGAAGTGAAGTGGAATATTGAGTTTATGTTGAAACATGTTTTGCTGGAAATTTACCAGTAACTTCATTCTTTTGATCATCTTGATTTTGACCCCATTTAATGATGGAATTAGGAAGTGTTATAGAAGAGTTATTTGTTCCTCTATGTGTTATCTTTACATGGGTTTTTGAATGATTCAAATTGGAGTTGTATATTGAGAGATATGATCAAAAGAGTACAGACTGTGCAGGATGGAAAACGCGAAGCGCGCGGGAATCGTATGACGAGCTCGCGTTGCCTTCTCGCGCTCGCGAATTTGAACTACGCGCTCGCGACTTTCACCTGAAACTCTCTGACTCTTATTTGGCACAACTCGCGCTCGCGACTTTCAAGTGCACGCTCGCGACTTGCTTGTGCTCGCAAACTCTCTGACTCTCATTTGGCCCATCTCGCGCTCGCAACTTTGAAGTGCGCGCTCGCGTACTTGGCCCTTGGCCTGTAAGCGCTCGCGACCTTCATCGCGCGCTCGCGAATTTAGCCTGAGAACTCACTGTTCTTCAATTGGGTAACTCTCGCCGCCTCGCGACTTTCAAGTAAACGCCGCTCGCGACTTGTGCCCGATAATTCACTGTCTCTTTCATTTTGCATTCTACGCGCTCGCGACTTGTGTTTTCATGCCACTTTTGGACTTCTTTTTCAATGCAATTTGTATTCCTTTGCTTCACTTATATGCCTCCCAAATCATGTTTTAACATCAAATACAACCATTAGCAAACATGTATCAAAACAACCTCAAAGCATGCAAAATGATTGTGAAATTCAATAAACATTTATGAAAATTATGAAGTTATGAACTCATGAAAGATGATGTTGTGTGATATTATTTGACATACCAACCATTTAGGCTCCATGAGGGTTAGCAGAAACCATGTAGATAAGGCTTATTGTCGCGGACATTAGGATAGCCAGATGTGCACCCTCATAACAGTTTGATACTCCGGCTACAGCCGTTGAGTGGATATGATATATGGGCCATAGCAGGCCAAGCTACAGTATTTCATTCCAGTTTCATTTACAGTTTTTCTTTATCACTTCGGTTCACTATAAACCTATGGAGCCATACAGATTATCTTGACATAACATTTCATGAATTATACAGTATTATAAACAGTTTACCAAAGGATAATCAAGGTATCATTGAAAGTATCATGATGTGTGTGCTTATATGGTGTTGCCCATATGTGTTTACATGGTTCTTTCTATCTATGTATATGCTTGATTGTTTCTTATATGTTGAGATATCCACTGAGCTTTATTTGCTCAGCGAGTTACCTGTTTAACTCGCAGGTTTTGAGATTTGACAGTAGAGAGTCAGCTTACAACTGCTGCAGTTCATCTGTAGAAGTCTCAGTCTTCAGGGTAGCTACTCATACGGATGTGTATTTTTTGTTTATCCTTTTTATGGCATGTACAGGGCACACAGTTGGGCCCATTTCATTTTGTAAACTAGTATCATGTTTTGTAAATATAAAGTACATTATTATATAACATCAGCAAGCTATTTATATTCAACATACATTATATTTCAGCATGTTCAGGCCATACAGGTCAACCAGTTTATTGTAACGTCTCGGTTCCGCGTTCATTTCGGTTTACGGGTGAACCGGGAAGGGGTGTTACGTTTGTAACGTCTCGGTCCGGTTCATTCGGGTTTACGGGTGAACCGGGAAGGGGTGTTACATATTCTTCCTTTCACATACTCCATTTTGCTGTGGAGTATAAGCAACTGTTAATTGATGAAGAATGTCAGCCATTTGAAGAAAATTCTCAAATTCATATGAAGTGAACTTGATTCCATTATCTGATCTTAACATCTTGATTTTCTTATAAATTTGATTCTCCACCTTAGATTTAAATGTTTGAAAGCACGAAAACGCTTCAGATTTCAATTTTAAAAAGAACACCCAACACATTATGTTATAATCATCAATAAATAATAAGAAGTACTTGCTTTTACTAAGAGAGAGTGTCTTCATAGGGCCATAAACATCAATATGTACAAGTTGGAGTTTCTTAGATGCTTTCCAAGCTTGATTTATAGGGAATGCCAAGCTATTTTGCTACCCTTTTTGGCAAATTCCACACACATCAGCAGATTCATACACAACAGGCATGTCATTCACCAAACCTTTGCTATGCATATGCTTTAATGAAGCATAATTAAAATGGCCAAATCTTTTATGCCATAAATGAGACTCATCTAAGATGGAAGTTAGAGCATGCTTTTTGATTTTCTTTTAATTCACAGGAAAACTTTTATTAATCATTGTAACTGACAACAATTTTGCACCAAATTTATCAAACACCTCATACATCCTAGCATAAGAATGCCAATTATATTGCTTTTCAAGTAATTGATCAACACTAAGGAGATTTTAACTTATTTTAGGAACATATAACACATTTAAAATTGTTTGTGCACATGAAAAAGTCTCAACCGCAACATCTCCTTTTCTTTTCACTTCTACATAGCTGCCATCACCAATTCTCACCCTTGATGAATAGCTTCTATCTAAGGTTGTGAATAATGTTGCATTTGAAGTCAAGTGATGGGTGCACCCACTATCAATCAACCAAGTTTCTAGATTTTGAGCTTCGCAGCTGCCTTTTGTTTTGATCGCCATAAAATCACTTTCCTCCTTCATTTCAAATGCTTCAACAACTTGAGCTTGTTGAGATTGTTGGTCATTTTTGGCTTGTAAACTTTTTCAACATGGCCAAACTGCTTGCATGACCTGCATCGCACTCCAGGTCTATACCAGTGTAATGTTCAGCATGTCCCTTTTGTTACAATGTGAACATGACTGATTCTTCCATTTTCTACTTTTGGCTTCAATGCTTTGATAATCTCCCTTCTCATTTTCCTTTCTATCATCAGCAGGCTTTTTCCCTCTTCCACTTGACTGAAATTTGCCTTTTTGACTAGCGAATAATGCACTTTCACTTGAATCCTCAAGTCTGTAAGCCTTTCTCTGCTTTACAGCTTGTAGAGAATTCACCAACTCAGCAAAGACATCTGAGATAAGTCTTTTGAGTCCTCCAAAGACGAGATTTTTGACTCAAATTTTTTTGGCAAACTCATTAAAACCTTTTCAATCACCCTCTTCTCTGATAGATCTTCCCCAAGCAACCTGATTTGATTTATCGTTTTCATGAGTCTATCAGCATACTCTTTTACAGACTCATTTTCCTTCATTTTCAACAGCTCATATTCTCTTTTCAAGTTCAAAACTTGCATATGCTTGGTTTTTTCACTCCCCTGGAACTCATCTTTCAACCTATCCCATGTTTCCTTGCCAGTTTCACAAGCCATAATACTTGTGAAAATTGTTTCTGTCACAGCAGCATGAATGAGGGATAAGGACTTATACTTTTTAGCACTTTCTTTTGAATGGTGCTTCATTTCAATAACAGTGGGATTGACACTTAATGGTGGAGGATCATTTCCTGTCTCCACTACTTCCTAGAGATTAAGGCCTCTCAAATAGGTCTTCATTTTAACAGCCCAAAATCTGATAGTTTTGACCATCAAACATTGGTGGTGGACTAGTTCCAACACTATTTGAAGCCATAACAAGGTTGAAACGTGTCTAGTTTGTGAAAGGGAACCTGACTGGTTTTCTCTCCTCTGTTTCTCACCACCCAGGCCTCTCAAAGATCGGAGATGGCTCTAATACCACTTGCAGGAATGTGAGAAAAACACACACACTTGAAACTAAATAAAGAGGAGCTATTTTTCATATTCATTGATCAAATTATATATACATTAGTTACAAAAAACTTTCTTTTATAGTCAACACCTAACTTCCTTAATTTAAGGAACATCTCTTCCTAAATTAATGCTTAAAGCATTAACACCATTCACTTAGCAAACTCTAGATTTTTCCTATAAAAATGCATATTTGATGATAACAAAAAAAAAAAAAAGCTAATCAAAATATCAGCTAATATGACAACAACAGTGTCACAGCAGACGTTCTTTCAAGGACAAAAGGAATATATGAGTTAGAATATTTGAAGCATTCGGCATATTGTATGTAAGGAGATTGTTTGACCCTTGTTGCAAGAAGAGAATACCATCTCCAATGAGTTGCTGTCATGGTTGAGGAGATTGGCTCCTAAGAGATGTTACTAAGATTGAAGATGTTATCCAGAGAGTGGCAACAATGAGAATGGAGGAGGAGAGAAAGATAGAGATGGAGAGAATGGTATATAATTATTATAATTTTAAATTCTAAAATATAATATAAAATTTAATATTGAAAATTAAAGATGGATATGCTTATTTTAATATTTTTATGTAAAACTAATGGAAAATCAACATCTTTTAATACAAAAGACTTTGAGCGTCATAATAATTTTACCAAACTATAGGACGAAGTGATTAATTTTGTCAAACTTCACGGACTAAATAATTATTTTTTATTAATTAATCATATTTAGTTAACATATGTAATCCACCATAAACCTAAAGGAACTTATAATTATATACTAAATGAATCATAAAATATGTGCAAAATACACTTTACATATTAAAAATATATATCGTTTATAAATTATAAATTATAAATTATAAATTGTCAAAGTAACCCGTGCAAAGTGCAACCTTCATCTAATTTTTTATAAAGGTAAAAATTGTGATTTTGATTATTTTGATTTAGTGAAATTCAATATCAATACATCAATATTGAAAAGAAAAATGAATAAAAAGTAAGTTAAAAAGAATAATATTTATTATTAATTTAAATTACTTTTTCAGCTGTATTATAAGTAAGGTTAAAAGAAATAAATTATTTATTTAATTTAAATTACTTTTTCAGCTGTATATATATATATATATATATATAAAATCTAAAGTAACAGTTTTATTCTGTATTATATATATATATATATATATAAAATCTAAAGTAACAGTTTTTATCCTAAAAATTATTTAAGAAAGACAATATAAAAATTAGTATTTTCAATTTTTACACGTTGGGTGCAATGGCTAAATTTTAAAAGTTTGGATTGTAATTAAAAACTTATTTATTTTTTTATATATTTTCATTTATTTTTAGTTATACTTAATTCAATCAATACTTCCTTAGAAAAGAAAAAGTATATATTTAATTACTCTAAATTATTTTCATAATATCTCATAATTATGGAAAAAAAAACAATTGATGAAGATACTAAACTAATTTTTGTGGCCATAAGAACAATCATAAACCATTCACAATAGAACTTAATTAGAACACAGAAAATATGGTTCAATATACCTATGAGAATCCATTATTTTTACATATATAATACATTGGGAAAGAAAAATCCTCAAGAAATCAAAAAGGTTTATTTTGAGTGAGCTCTAATTAGATTGTCCATGAGCAACCTTGAAGTAGATATGGTCCCAACTATACCAAGAACAGACCCAAATGCAATAAGAGAAAGATTAAGAATTAGTAGAGGTTTAGATATTTGAGGCCAAGAAATTTTGGTGTAAAAAGCACAGGGAAAGACTATGCAAATACTGACACTGATCAATGAGCCAGTAAGTCCAAGAACATGCTCAAAATAAGGGACAGAAAGAGCTAAGGCCAGTATGAGAAGTAGGGCAAGTGACCCTACAGTTGCTCTAATGACCATTTTCATCTTAGGGCTCATGGAATGAGGAAGACTCTCCTCCAACTGAATAGCAAATGGTGCAAATTCTAGGGCATATTTGGTCATGGGAGTTAGGACAGTTGCCCATAACGCAATTTTTGTGATGAGAAGATGTGGAGGCATGCTAAGAGTTATTTGAGAACTAACATTAGGGCCAAACATTTTTGCACCCATAAATGCTAAAGCTGTATATATTGTTGTCACTGATGCAAAGCTCACAATAGATACCTGAAAAAAGAATTGAAAAAAAAGAGTCAATTATGTGTCAATAGATAGTAAATTTTCGGTTTAAACTTTTCCATTTACCATTAATAAATTTTTTCACATAATTGATATAAAAAAAAATACCAAATTTCTTTGTATTTAGTGAGAGTTTATTGTGTGTCCATAAAGTTAAAACTAATTTAGAAAGGATTGGTTTCATGAAGCATCGGTTTTGGTTCACAAAATACCCGGTTCTGAGTATTCCATACTTGGAAATAGGACCAGCCCAAATTTGACTGGTTCCGTCCCAATTCCATCATTTTTAGGAAAGTTTCTAATAATAATAATAACAATTGGAAAGACGTATTATGATACCTTGGTAAACTTGGATGGATCCTTCATGGATTTATATAAGTTGGGGAAAACAATATGGCCTGCATAACTGAAGATATAGAGACCAGAAATGGCAGGAATTTTTTTTACATTAAGAATTGGTATTTTATGGTTAGCTTTGACACTTCCAAAAGCAGCAGTAAATGGCACAGAAGCAAAAATAACAAGTGACATTAGAATACCGCCTGATGAAAGGAAAGATATAGAAGATAAATTTCTCAGCCATAGACTTGGAAGTGCTATCAACACAGCTATGGTGGTTAGTAACTGAGATGTTGAGAATTTACTTGTCCAGGGAAAAACCAGATTTGTTCCTGAAAATACAGTTATAAGATTGTCATGGAGAGAGATGGTGTAGGAGACGAGGGCCATGAAAATCTCCATGTAAATGAAGGTTGAAGCTAAAACTCTTCCTTTGCTCCCAAATGCTTCTTGTCCAATATCAGAGTAGCTTCTTGACTTGGGATTTTTGTCAAGACATTTTCCAAGAAGATGAGAACTGTATGCACATATGATTCCAAGTCCTATAAGCAAGAATGATGAAGCCCATCCTCCATTTTCTAAAGCATATGGAGTTGATAGCTGCCCAAGACCTGTATTGTATTTCTAGAATTGTTAACATGAAGATAAAATTTCATGCACCTAAAAAAATTTGCATAAAATTAATATGTCAAGATCATTTTCCAAAGCACTCGTTTAAGTGCAAGTGCAACAAGAATTTATTATTCAATCCACTCCTTAAGTGTATATGCGACTGGGTTAGCTTGACTGACATTATTCGTCGAAATACAAGAATTACATACATAAATAGATGGGTACATACCTATTAGCATTCCAACCATGTTGATGACAGCATGAGTGAAAGAACTATTAGCATCAGCATTCGAGCCATTTGCTTCATCAGGAGTCTTCTTGAAATCTCCAATTTTCTGATTGCAATTACAGGCTTTATTTTCCTCTACACAAGCATCACAAATAACCCATTTGGCAGCCAAATTGTGGCTATGGACCGACTCACTAGCAACTTGATGATGATGATTGCATAATTTTCTGATGAATTTGCAGATCTTAACCAACATACTGATCAAGCTTCGAGAGATATTTTGTTAATCTTACTTCACTTGCAGCTATATATACAATTGAAAGAGAGTTGGTTATTTATATAGCTGGAGAAAAAAAAGGGTTTCTTGTAATTCTGAGCATAAATTCTGAGAATATATGATTATGTAAGAGTGAAGATCCTCTGTTAGGTACTGTAACAGAAGAAAATAGATACACGTAATGGTCTTTACCATTTGGAGGAATCTAGTGCATATGAATATTGTGTCATATGAAATTTGTTCGGGCAGTTGGCAAATGGAACAAGTTGAGCTGTCATTTTAGCAAATACATGTAGTCTGGTTCCTGACACAATCAATACTTGCATGATTCCAAGATATATGGAAACAGATTGATGAGACTCCAAATCTTAAGAAATATACCGGATTTTTATTTTTATTTTTATTTTTTTAGGTATCCCACAATTATTATATATTACCGCATTTTTTATTTTTTTATTTTATTTTTTAGGTATCCCACAATTATTATATATATATATATATATATATATATTATTATATATATTAATACTATATATATATATATTAATATTCAAAAAAATTTATTAGTATGTCTGATTTTTTATATATAATTATCAAAAAATTTTATTAGTATGTCTATTTTTTCCAATAAAAAAATAATAATATTCTCTTTTGCACTAAAGAACTTTATTGAATTGGTTGATATATAGCATATATATAATGTTTTACAAAATTATATCTTTTTCAGTTTATAAATTACAATTATAATATCAAAACACACACACATAAATGTATATATATGTAAGAAAAATTACAACATAAAAACAGTTTCTTTCAAACTCAAACGAAAATCTAGCTAACATGGGTTGCGCGGCGTCCATACATACAGGCATAAGAGGAGGAAGTTGGAAGTTGAAAGCTAGTGGTGGGAATTTCCAAATGCATTTCCTTCAGCTTCAACATGCATGGTCTCTTTGTAGTAACTTCAAGACTCGTAAAATCCTTAGATGGAAGCTTCACTGTTACTGCATTTTGTGAATTTACTTATTTCTGATATATACTCCCATTTTTAATTTAATAACATTATTTAGTGTTTTTTATTGGAAAAAATTGAGAAAACTAATAAAAGAGCAATAGCTTTTTAAATAACGATCAAATGAAAGACTAATTCTTTTTAGCCAGAAATAATTATATTTAAAACTTTCTTCAAGATGCTGATTTCACTATTCAATTTTATGATAAGAGACTGATAAGAGACGGACGCACATATGGCCCAAAGGGCCTTGATCCCTAATATAAAGAATTTCAATTTTTAATGTTAAAAAAATTGAAAAAAAAAATATTTTAGTTTTAGCCCCCCATTAATCAAAATTATGCTTTGGTTACTCCTAATTCTTTGGGTTGGGCCCGCCCCTATTTGTGATCACCAGTGTTGAATTTAGTGCATTTAATCAATACACGTGCTAGAGAAAAATAATTAGGAATATTTAATAATATTATTGTATTTATAATGATGATTAATGAAATGACATGCAATTAAATTGGCAATTTATTACGTAATAATATCAATTATTCTTAGGTCTTATCATTGTACATTGATAAAAAGAGTTCACAAATCTTTCTCTTTTAGATTATAAGTTGAAACCATTAATATTTTATAAGAATAGATTGGAAAAAAGAAAAGAAAATGCCAATAAATAGGAAAAAGAAGACAATTAAAAGAATATATATAATATAATGCAAGAAGAAAGGTTTCACGTACTCGAATTTGCTTTACTCTTATTCGCATGATGTGTTTTATCTTTTTGGTATCTTATGTAAGAATTCCTTAAGTAGTGTTTGGAGAAAAGTGATTCCAAACGAACCGGAACGGAACAACCTGTGATTTGACTCATCAATCAATTCCTGCCTTATTGGAAATACTGCCGCCAAACATCCTAGTTGAAAATCATGACATCCAACGCATCTCATCAAATTCCCATTTTACTTTTATTTGCCAAATTCGCGGCCCTAATAGAATTTATTCCATATATATGATATATCTACTAGAATTTCGTTAGTAAAAATTGTTGCACTTGTAAATTCCTTTAGATTGGAATCATCGGTAGATTCAAAAAATCTAGTTAGCGGAAGCAATATATAAAAATAATAAATTAATTGAGGTAAAAAGTAAAAATTTGTGAAATAGATTTAAAATTATGTAAATATATAGACTAAAATGCAAAAACTATGAATTAAAGTGTGAAAAATCAAAGAGGGAGCAAGTGTCCCTATTATCCCACCTTAAATCCACACGTGAATGACATGTCAACTATAAATTTAATGTTTTTCTCATTTATAATTTCTGAGGCTTTTGTGCGTGACAACTTTTAAAATAGTATTTTGTGTTTTGACTAGTCAAAATGTTAACGCTATTTTTTTATAGCGTTTGATAACATAACATTTGAAACTTTTAGAAATTAATGTGGCGTTCTATAAAAAGTTAATTCATATAGCGTTTAACTTTTAACGTTTTATGAAAAGCTACTAAAACAACTAACAGCTAAAACGTTATTAAAACAGCTAACAACTATCAAAATAACTAATTTTGCCGGACACACCCTTAGTTTCAGCATAGATGATTTGTTTTAATTAGAAGGATTAAGATGGACTTAATACAGGAGAATATAACATACAGTTCCAAGAATCAATTTGATGAGTAGTTCACAGAGGTGCAGTCCAAGGCGAATCTATATATTAGACAAAAGGCATAATTTAGAAAAAAAAAATTAAATGAATAAAAAGTTCGAACTTAAGCAAATTGTGATTTCTGTTATTCTTTTAAGCCTTAACTTACTTACTTTGATATTTATTTAATTTTTTCTCTATCAATTTTCGTACGAATTTGTTTCTTTTACTAACAAATTTTAGATTTATTCTGTATACCAAAATATATTCTAGTAATAAGAACATATACTACCTGACAATAAATTTAAGTTCGAATTCCTTTCTCGTTGAAAAAAAAAAAAAGGTTGGACCTACTCACATAGTGCATGCACATCACTCCGCGAGGTTGGCCACCTATCTTAAGATATTTCCAATTTCAAAAAGATATTTCTATTTATGTTTCTACATTTCCACAATATGGTTATGATCAATTAATGGGAGTTGGTCGGAAAGTGTTCTTTCCTCCGTCATTAGCTTTCATATTCCCCTTTCTGCTGTTTCTGCTGCTTTTCAATTACAAACTATCATATAATATCAATATTGTTCTAAAATAAATAAATACCTTATTTGGCAAAGATGATCGACGCGAATTTCTAACCAATTAAAATTCTATATGGCTGAAAAAGTATTTCTAAAAATAATAATTTTATAATGCAATAGGCTAATACATATATACCCTATGTTCTATTTATCTAGAGAAAATTTCCCTTTTGGACGTTTTATTTTTGTAGAAAATTTTCCTAATATGGTAACTTTGGAGCTTATGCCAAAGTAAAAGTTTAAATATTTCAGTGCTTTGTTTATAAATTAAACATTGATTTTGGGAGTATTTCAAGAAAGTGACCGACATTATTGTGGTTAACATTTAATGTTCAAAAATTAATTAAACTATGCTTTAAGAAAATGTGAGATTCAAGCACATCATGCGTACAAATTAAATTTCACCAAGAAGTTTATGCTTAACATTTAAGTGTGCACGTATAGTGAAAATTTACTCACAACTCTAATAAATCCTAAACGGGAAAAAATTTCCTTCTAAACGACAGTGCTTAAATAAAAATAGTTGTACCCATTTATATTTACTCTGATGAACTCCTTAAATGGTTAAAGAGATTGATATAGAACCTAAACCCTAATTTCATTGCTAAAATAAAAATAGTTGTGCTCATTTTTTTGCATTATACCAAATTCTATAAATTGTCCTAGTGGATATTGATAAATTGTGTGCAAGTTTACAAATACTGCGAGCATTTGACTCAACCTTTTATTTTTAGAACACAGTAATATACAAACTGTATTTTTTACATTTTCAATGATGTTTTTTTCCTTTTGTTGTCTTTTCGAGCTTCTTTTGAAACGTTACTTGGGGATGGTGTAGTTTCAGGTTCTACAGAAGGCGGTTGTTTAGTAGATGGCAAGGAGATCAAGTCTAAGGTTAATTATTGAGTGTGATCATTTCTTCTAATGTTGGAAGCAAATTTTGAAGGACAAGTCAAAAGGAAGGACTGTGTCCATGGCGTTTGCGATTAAATTTTAGAGTTGTGAACTCAACTCTATTTAAATGAATTAAAATTTGAAAATTTTAACTCTAAATTTCATTTTTTTACGGATAAATTAGGAAAAGCAAAATAAAGAATTTGGGGTTGAAAATTTTGGTCCAAACTTTCTTTTAACTTCACACTAATTTTTTCAATCCAAATTTGATATTGAAATTTTAGTGTCCAGTTGCAATTAAACAGTTCATGTTTTTTTGTTATTGGAAGTCTAAACAAATAAAATGACTTATTTAAGCAACAAATCTTCTCTCTCACCGTTTATCACCTTTTATTGAAAATTGAAAACCACTTTAATATCTTTTCAAAGGTAAATTACAAAGAAATCCACAAAAAGACCACCTTTTTAATCGCTGAGAAATTTTGACTTTCTTTATATAAATAATTTATATAATGGAAGGAGTAATTATTTAGAAGAAAAAATTCTTTTTAAAAAAAAAAAAGAGAAGTGACGTCACCATTATCAAGTATCTTCTATGCAACCCCATAATCAGAATCTCATAAAAAAGAAAGGAAGAAAAAAAGTATCTCCATTGAACTCAATAATGCGTTTGTTCTATGAGTTGATACCATGTTGTAATATTTCGGATTTGTTAAGATTAAATAAAACTAATGTTTAAGTAATAATTTTTTTTTTAGAAGATTTTAACCTGCATTCTTTTTTTTTTTTTTTTCCCTTCTGCACTACTAGCTAATGCATTTTTTTTCACATCCCGCCAAAATTCAACTTGCGTCTATTTTAATTAATAAAATTGGTATAAGAAAGAAGCCTATCCAGCCACGTACTATTTTTTTTTTTTCTCAAATATATAAATTCATTCTCATACTTTTCATAAAAACATTTTGATTTACTTTGATTTATTAAACACTTCAACTTATAAAATTAGATCGATTAAACAAGTATTAAATAGTTGAAAAATGTAAAAATTATTATTTCAAAAACTGTTCTAACCATATATCAAATTAATATTTTACATATAAAAGCCAAAAATTTTAAAATATTTTATTTCTTTCTTTTCTTTTTTTAATGCAAGTCTGCTATATATCAATAGAATCACAGTGCAAAATATCCAAAATGAAATTTAGATTGACAGGACCCCACTCGATCTAAGGAATGAGCACACTCGTTTGTTGACTTTTTCACAAATAAAAAAGAGATAGATGTAAACTGAACTCTTGAGCTAAAGTTTCACAATCTGAAATAAAGCTATTAAAATATGAATTATCTAAACAAACCTTCTCCATAGCTTGTATTGCCATCAAACAATTTGATTCAAACTGAATATCCATTAAAGCAAAACCCTTGTCCTTTAATTAGCCATGACAAAGCCTCACGAAAACCAATTACCTCAGCAAGCAAAGCATTATGAGCTCCCACAACTGTTAAGAATTTTCCTCCTTTATCAATATCCAAAGCATCACGAACTATCCAGCCCACTCCAACACGTTTTGAAATGTCATCAAACGCAGCATCGACATTACATTTGATGCTTGACCCTGCTGGAGGTGTCCATTTAACTGGGAACGGTTATTGAATCACCTTAGACACTGTTCTTGATGCCTGAGTCACTTGCCACTCCTCTAAACATTGCTTTGCCTGAAAAACAATATGTTGTGCGTGTGTTGCTTTGCCCTGCCATACTACTTGGTTTCTGTTATTCCAAAGAAACCATAAAGCACAAAACCAAAGTGCATGCTGCTATTATCCCCACGCGATCTCATTGCTAATAGCCATTCGTGCACACTCTCAAACTGATCATACCTGACTCCATCAAATGAGTCCCAGCATTGTACAGCAAAAGGACAGTTTACAAAAACATGCAGAATTGTTTCCACTTGGCCACGACGCACGAGACAACATGTATGAACCTCCATTTTCTGAAGCAATAAGTTGTTCATGACAGGAAGAATATTTGATGACATCCTCCATGAAAAATTTGCCACCTTTGGCTTCCAAATCCAAGTCCATAAAGAATCATGTACCTGGTCCATCTGCTGGTTTTCTGTCATTGCTGAGTACCCACTTCGAACTATGTAACTACCCTTTGACCCCCACTACTAGTACCAACCATCTGCTTTACATAATCGACAGAGCGGGATTTGCTGAATTGCATGAATTTCTTCCTCTGATAATAATGTGTGAAGCACCTTCGTATACCAACCTTTTTTATCTGCTGTTAATAGATCCGACACAAAGACTTCCTCCATACCCGACATATTTTGACTTTGAATATAAGGCGATCCTGAGCTTGGCAGCCATGCCCGCAACCAGCTTTGAGGAGAGATTGGCTTTCAAAGATGCTTTTCCAAACATAGCTCGGATTCTTTCTCAGTTCAGCATGAAGAAAATCCAAATCTGGAAAATATTTTGCCTTAGAAATCCTAGAGACCAAAGCTTGCGGACATGTCAGCAGTCTCCAATCTTGTTTCGCCAATAAAGCCACATTAAATTTCCTTAGAGAGCGGAAGCCCAATCCACCATAGTCTTTTCTACAGGCTAGCTGCTGCCATGAGTACTAGTGTATACCTCACAAGGTGTGAGATCTATAAGGTAGATTTTGAAATTTAGAGTGTAGTAAGATTTTTTTTCTTTTATAAAATTTTAAAGTTTAAATTATGTATTCAACCTTTTTTTCAAAGTTTTTGCGCAAAATTTATTTATAAAGCAAATTAAAAGCTTTCTCTTTTAAAAACTATAGCAATTAGATCTTGTAGAGGTATATATTTATTATTATTATTATTATCTAAGCTTCTAGATTTTGCAAGTAGTATTTATTTGGTGTCATATTCTTTTCTAGATTAACTTGATTAAAATGTGATTCCTAAAGATAACATGATGGATAAAATGTAAGGGGCAAGAAGTGAAAAAGAGACATTTATTTTTTATAAAAATGATGTAAAGAGATATTGTTTTTAATAGGGGTGTGCACAAGAATGCGGAAATCCAATTCGTTTCTAAAAACCGTTTCGAATTTTCCATCTCGAGAAAAATTTAATATTAATTTAATAATCTCGTGCCGAATTTCGTTCCGAAAATAATTATAAAATAACACTGGTTCTTTAATTAAAATCAACCTGTACCGATTCATGTTCTGTCTCGTTCCGTCTCGTCTCGAAAATTGAGAATTTCCATCCCATTTTTTCTTTCAAAATCTAGTTGTCTTTTTTTTTGTCCTTCACGAATTTTAAATTATGTCCATCAAAATCATTTCATCCTTTTTATTTTAGTTTTTTTATGATGCCAATTACTATTAAAGTAATAATAATACGAAAAAACAACATGCATTATTTTAAAAATAAAATAAATCAAGTAATTAAATATGTGTTAAGTAAATCTTTTTAAATAAATTTTTTCTATTATGAAAAGATTAATCAATAAAAAAAATTAACTTTAATTAATCTGATTACTAAATTATTGATTATCCTTAAAGGATTAAATTAAATCAGTATCAAATTTAAATTAGCTTAAACACAACAATAAAACAATGATGAGTTAAAATTCATAAAATACATATAAAATTAAATTGTATATACTTTTTGCATTTTTTTTATTATACTTAAAGCTTTTATTAACTAAAAAATAACTACTTAAAAATCTTCTACTATATCAATGATTGAATTAATAACTTATACAAATGAATTTTATTTGATTGTAATCGATGAATATAGTAATTTTTTATCTTTTATAATAAAAAATAATTTAGTAAAATTATAGAAAATCTCGTTCGGTCTTGTCTCATAGACCTCAATTCTCATCCCTTCATGTTCCAAAACATGGAACAAAACAGGACAGGACTATATATCTATCGGGACAGAATTGAAACTCTATTTTTTATGTTCCAATATTTTGTGATAAGATCAAGAATTATATAGTTTTTTATGCAGAAAGAGCAGGTTTGCAACTGCACAAGGAGAAGAAAAGAGGCATGATTTTATTTGTGCGAGGAAGCAAAATGAACAATAGTTTGATTTGCAAAGAAAGAGCATCCATTTAAACGTGAATGCAAGGCTCACACGTGAATTGTTAGCAAATAAAAAAGACATGGAAAAAAAAAACAATTTAACCTAGAGAAAATCAAATAACACAAATGAAAAAATGATCAAAAAGAAAATTTTTTTTTTTTTTTTAAAAAAAGAAGCAATTGAAACCATCTCACCTGATATAACAATGAATCAAAATTGGAAATGAAAAAGCCAAGAAAGGATAAGAGCTAATAGATGTGAAGAAAAAAAAAAGTGAGAAAAAACCCTCCAATTACTTCATATGTAATTGGGGAAATCAGTTTGGAAGTAATAGGGTATAATTTTCCCCATTTTCAGAGTGATCAAATAGAAAACTAAGATGCAAATAAATCATTAGAAATCAATAAAATTCACAATTGAAAAGATGAAAATCAAAATAGAGAGTACCTTGAAAATCTTAGGATCTTTGAAGAAAACAAGCTCACGTTGAAAAACACAAAAGAAAAGTCTTAAGTAGATTCTTCGAGAAAATTAAAAACATTTTTCCTAATTTTTTTAGTGATCAAATAGAAAACCAATAATTCTTAGTGACCAAATGAAACCAAAATGCAGATAAATCACTAGAAATCAATCAAAATCACAACCAAAAAATCAAAATCAAAATAGAAAGAAAGTATACTGATACTCTAAAACTCAAGGATAAAACCTATAATTAAAAATTTTCAAAAAAAAAAAAAAACAAACCAATAAAGTTAGATTTTCCGTAAAAATTGAAAATCAATGCAAAATCTCAAAAGAGACACAAAAGCACTGCCTCGAATCAAAGAAAAAAAAGATAAAAAACAAGAGAATGATCATCGATGGTGCAATACTGTCAGATGAAGATTGTTCGTGTCACGCCCGACTCTAATCACCAGAGGAATTATCCGCTTTAGATCAAGCCAAATCTTCCACACAAGATTGACAAGACCCGCACAATTTTGTTCTGCAGGTGAAATGGAAAACTTCTTAGGAGATCACCCATCCTAAAATTTATATTAAACGAACACGCTTAACTCTGAAGTTCTTCCAATTCTCCAGCCATTCCACCAAAAGGCGCCTCTAATGATTAGTTTCCCCTTTTCGATATGTAATTCGATTCATTCCTGTGTCGTGCATTCCACCACCCTAACTAGCCTGCCATCCTAGAAGCTAGCTAAGAGCTTCGCTCTACCCGCCCTCTTAGGATCGCTTTGCCGAATCAAGATGTCACAATTCGATCGGTTTTTAGTGAAGAGAACGATTTTGCTTGATCGTTAGAATTGTCTTTCGATGAAGGTGGTAAAATAATAAACTGATGTTATTTGTTTAGTTAAAAAACAATAATTTTATTTAACATGTAATTCGACTAAAAGTATATTATAAACAAGTTGAATCACGTAAGTTTGTTAATGCCAGAGCAATACATTCACTATAACAATATGCTACCAATTTTGCATCTGATATTAACTGCCAAAAATCAATCATCTTCTCTGCACTCTCTATCACACTTTACACTGCAATTAAATTTCAACAAACACCTACAGAAAACTATCAGTAAACCATTGGACTCTGTCATCTTTTATCTTTTTATGGACAAAACTTATCAGAATAGCTATTGACGTGCATAAAAGAAAGGAATTTAAGAAAAAATAAATAAAAAATGCCCCTGTAACCATAACATGTCCCCCTTCAGATCCCAAATCTAGACAGAACAGTGCACATCTCACATCTCAGAGAGCCAAAAAAAAACTCACTGTTTAATAATGGAACGAATCATAATTCAGGCAAGCAAGTTAACACCGTGAACCCAGAACAAGGAGCCAACAAGTTGAATGAACAAAAGCTCAAGCTCATATATAGTGATTTGCTTAACTTTTATACGGTTTAGAGGGCCAATTGAATGTGTCAGCAAATGAATACCAGTTCAATGAACTAATAGATCTCCAGTATAACCTTTCTAGACCAAAAAAATGCAGACAATCACAAGATCACTTCAATTTCATGACAACCAGAAAGCTGTTCAGTTCCAACAGCCAACTTCAAAAGATTTATCTCATCTACAGAGGAAAAAAAAATTCCAGAACAAGGCACTAAACTTATTATTATTTCAAAACAAGATATTGTTCAGATTCAATTGGATCAACCAACCATAGGACTAGCTTCTCACCTTGGAGGCAGAATGGAAAGTAATGCAGCACACCAATGGCACAGTACGCAAAGCAGGGCAGGGCAGGGCCAGGAATCCATGGCTTGTGAAAGCAAAGCTTCCCAAAGCAGTGTGCAAAGTTTCCAGATGAAAGCACTTCAAACCTTAATGTTAGAAATATTAATAGACATGAAGTTCCTACTCTTGATGTTGATGGATTTTCTTGATGAAATCCCCTCACCCAATTAGTAAAACAGGCTGAAATAGTTTGGAGTAGACAGAGAATAACTATTTCACACTGAGATAAATGAAAAATTAGGCTATGTTTAGTTCACCATCTTTTTGTTATTTTAGAAGCAAAAAAGCTGACCTTTTTCTTTGGGAGGAAAAAAAAAAGCTGAATTCACTGTTTGGTTAAATAAATAGGAATATTAAAAGGCACAAAAGCTAAATTCCATGAGAAGTAATCTTAATTCCCTACTGTCATTGTCTTTTTCCTTTTTCATTGAAGTTAAATTTAAATGTACTCTATCATTATTTCATTTGTTCTAATAAGAATCAAAACTCAAACAAAATAAAATGTAAATCAGAAAAAGCAAGGTAGCCAAACAGAGCACAGGCTGTTTTCACTAGTCTTATTTACTGAGCCACCAATGATGCAGCTGATTCTGATACAAGCAATTCCATCTACTATGGCAAATCTAAGGACTGCCGAAAACCAAGATGGAAATGCACTTCATGTCAGTCTGAATATAAATATTCCAAAAAAGGAATTGTCTGAATATGAATATGTTCTTTGGTCGAAGCCACATTTGGTCGAAGCACCCAAACATGTTCTTTAACCCAAAAAAAGAAATGCAACAGCTGATGCAAAGACAGTCTGAATATAAATATTCCAAAAAAGGAATTGTCTGAATATGAATATGTTCTTTGGTCGAAGCCACATTTGGTCGAAGCACCCAAACATGTTCTTTAACCCAAAAAAAGAAATGCAACAGCTGATGCAAAGACAGTCTGAATATAAATATTCCAAAAAAGGAATTGTCTGAATATGAATATGTTCTTTGGTCGAAGCCACATTTGGTCGAAGCACCCAAACATGTTCTTTAACCCAAAAAAAGAAATGCAACAGCTGATGCAAAGACAGTCTGAATATAAATATTCCAAAAAAGGAATTGTCTGAATATGAATATGTTCTTTGGTCGAAGCCACATTTGGTCGAAGCACCCAAACATGTTCTTTAACCCAAAAAAAGAAATGCAACAGCTGATGCAAAGACAGTCTGAATATAAATATTCCAAAAAAGGAATTAATTATTAGTGAAAAATTCCATCCCACATGATTAGTCAAGTGAATGCTGAGCATCATTTGAACACAACCACCAAATTAGTGCAGAAACCATCCTAGGAAAATGAGGCAATTTTGTAAATAGCAGACGCGAAATCCTACAGAAAAAACAGTTCTGTCTTAAAAATTCTACTTGCTTAACAAGTTTATGAGACAAAATACTCAAACAAAGGTACTACATTGTTTTTTTAAAAACAAGTGAAGAAGTAAAAAAATACTCTAATAGATAAAGAAAATACAGGTTTGGGACTTGAGTCTTTAATAAACGCAAAATAGTAACTTTTCATTCCAAATTTAAAACTTCGTTTGCAAGAGTGCCTGGAACTTCAGAAGAATCACCAGAGCCGAAAACAAAATGATTGATGCATCTATGAAGGAATCTGCACAATGAATAGATAAAAAGGATGAAAATAGCTAATTTCCCAAAAACAAATTTATATAAAACAAATTACAAGAGAACAAAAGCTGAAAATCTGTACCTTAGTCAATTTACAGGAAAACTTTTGGGTTTATCTTACATTTTAAGCAACTAAAGTATAAGCAGGTGGCATGTCATCTTAATAAATGAAAGAATAATGAATAGCATTATAAATACTCTTCATATTGCAACCAAGAAAAAAAAAATCATAGAATGTTAGGTTACAAGCAGAGAAACTTTTGTGACAACATAGAAAATGCCGTACCAAAATCATCATAAAACTGAGATAAGGGATTAATACAATGATATATTCATAATGTTCAATTAAAGAGGGGAGAAAATATCCCTGGGGTCATATCAGCAGCACCATTGAAGAAAATGATCTAACTTCTTAAAGGAGATACCTAAACTAGCTTCCTCAAAACATTCACAATTAGCAACTTTTAAAAAAATTACTGTGTAATATTGTTTCCAAATTCAAAGATTAGTCAATCATAGTGGATATATAGAGGAAACTACTTCACATGGTACCATAATGTAGCACAAATAAGTATTATCCAGACAAAATGCCAATCAAGATATAATCATGACACACAAATGCAAGTGCTATCTCAATGCATATGTGAAGCCTATGCATGTAATAACCCATTGCAATATATTTTGCAAAGCCTATCCTATTGCAGATTGCTACATCAAATATCAGATTCATTGATCATTAGATACAAATCCAAGTTTTTCCCCGAAATGGCCCAAAAAAAATGCAACCAAAAAGACAAAGCATACATAATCAAAACCAAACTTCTAGACTAGATTTTTGGTTTGTTAAACAACAACAACAATAACTAAGTCTTAGTCCCAGACTGATTGCGGTCGACCATATGTATCTTTCATTTCTAATATCCGCTTTGTTCAAAATAATAATAATGAAAAGCAAAGTATACATTTTTAAAAAGTTTCAAAAATACTTGGTGTAAAAAATTTTTGGAAAGGGAAATTTTTAAATCATTTTACTATATTAATAAATAAGCAAAACATAGATAGCAACAACAATTAACTAGGTCTGTTTATATGAATCTTTTGTCTCCATTATGCTCTGCTCATAGCTAGATCCTCACTAATATCCAAAGACTGTAGATCTTCTACGACAACTTCCCTCCACATAGTTAGCTCCCTCCATACAGTTATCACCCTCCACTATCGAAGTATCACATTTACAACATAGGGCATGTGGGAGTCGATGTAACACATGAATGTACGATCATACATGTCCTTCCCTTTTACCATGCTCCGCCATCAAAAGGGAAATTTGGCTCGCCGAACACAGAGAAAAATACTCCCTCCGTCCCATTTTGTTTGCTTGTTATTCCTTTTTGGTCGTCCCAAAATGTTTGCAAGGTTTTTAAATTTGTATATTTAAATAATTATTTTTTCTATAATAACATTTATGATTGTTCATTAAATGAAGAATTTTTATTAATATCTTGATGAGTTAAAGATAAAAAAAGGCAAAATAATATTTATTAACTAAATTTTTAATATATGTGTTTTGTCAAACTATGCAAACAAAATAGAACGGAGAGAATATATTACATCCATGAGGTGGTGTATAATATGAGAACCACTTGAACAGACAATTATTACCACATAATTATGTTTATCTGCATGGATATTAGTGGATAGCAAACTAGAATCCAATAGCTCATTCAAGGTAAACCTGATAATCAGTGGAAGCTCCCATTCTGATCTTTATTTTACTTTTAAATCTTAAATACTCCAGATTAACCCTCTCCGTCCTCCCTCTCCTCAAACGTTCCCTCTCTTCAAATCTAGAACAAGAACGTACCCAATTCAACCCCATCCCACTTCAAGGCAAACTAAGTACCCTGTGCCCCCTTCCCCAAACAAGAGACCTATATATATATATATATATATATACACACGTCAGCCCTTCTTCCAAACGAAATCACCAACTTCATACAGCCTATACAGCCTACTGCCTAACACTTATGCAATAATATTAAAAGCAGCATACAAGAAACATAAATTAGGAATATTAAGGATTTAAATAAACTAAAATCCAAAAGAAAGCCAAACAAACTAACCTAATGTCACATATAAGGAGCACTGCCCTGTTGAGATCTGCCAGCGCCAGTCTGGCCCACATGAGGGTTCATCTGTGGGTTGTAGCCACCCTGCATCGCTGGTTGGTTCCCATAGCCGCCAGCCTGAGCTCCATATCCAGCAGGAGGTACTCCCTGGTTCACTGGTCCAGCACCTAGTCCTCCAAGCAGATTACCAAGTCCCAACCCAGCTCCTTGAGAGGCAATCAATGCAGTCAAGGCTTGCCCAATTGCTGGGTTCAAACCCTGTGAAGCCATACCTGGGCTAAAGCTCACAGATGGCCCTGACGGAGCCATCAAATGACCGGGCCCGGCTGCAACTGACGAGTGCTTACCTTTCTTGGCCGTGTGGTGATAATGTGGCTGATTATGGTTATGGTTATGGTGATGCTGATGCTGATGCTGACCTGCACCACCATAGCCCATCTTATTCGGTTTTGGCCCATCTATTGCCCTCTGGCAATGCAGGGTATGACCATCAAACTTCTTGTGAGGCTCTTCAAGTGCCCTTTTTGCACTCTCAACAGACTTATACACAAACAACGCGAATCCCTTAGGTTTCCCAGTCTGTTTATCGAGTCCTAGTGGACCTTCTTCAACCTCCCCAAATTGCTTAAAATACTGCAGTAGCTTCTCGGGATCCAAATCAGCTGACACGTTGCTCACAAAAATCTTCCTCTGGGTATACTCAGAAACTTGTGGCGCAGTTGGCGGCGGGGCTGGCACAGGCCCTGCGGTGGCAAGTTGACAAGACGTAATCCTATTCCCTATCTTCTTCTGTGGTTCCTTGAGCGCCTTTCGTGCCCCAACCCGATGCTTGAACAATATAAAGGCATAACCCTTGGATTTTCCAGAGACGCGGTCAGTGACAGCCTTGCAATCCTCAATTTCCCCATATTTCCCAAATTCAGATTTAAGGGTTTCCGCAGTCGTATCCCAACCAAGACCATGCACAAATATCTTGCGGTGTGCGGGGTCAGCATCTGCAATTTCACGCACAGAATCCATCAAATCAGAATACTTATCCACTGCCTTTCTCAATAGAACAACCAACTGGTCTTTTCCAAAAGGCTCTAGAAGCTTCTCTAGAGGTTCGTCATCTACGTCTTCTTCTTCTTTGTTTCCTTCATTTCCATTAACATCAGCAGTAACTTCATTGCCTCCATTTGCTTCAGCTTTCGGTAAGTCCAATTGAGCGGCGTTGCTTGATGAAGGTTCTAGGGTTTCAGGGTCATTCTCTTCATTTTCTTCTCCTTCTCCTTCTCCTTCTCCTTCCTCTTCTTCTTCCTCTTCTTCCACTTCCTGTTGTTCGAGCTCTTCTTGTTCCTCGTCCTCCTCTATTTCTTGTGGCTCTTGCTGTTGTTCTCCTGTATCGTCTTCTGTGGCATTGTTTTGATGGTATTCTGTCTCCTCTTCCACAATTGGTTCAGGAGGCTGGAATTGATCATTTTGAAGTTGAGGCTCAGGGGTTTCGATTGGTGCGGGCTCAGAAGAACGCTGCTTTCGCTTCTTCGCCATTGCAGAGACGGAGGGATTTCAATTCAAGTTTTTATTTGGAGTTTGGTGTATTACTGGGAGCTAGGGTTTGAGGCGAGAGAGAGAGAACGTCGTGTCGTGTCGTCTCGCTCGTCCCTTACCAGTAGTCAGGATAGAAGGTCGCGTGGAGGCTAGATATTTTTCAAACTTATATATGTAGTGGAACGTGTGGATTAGAAGAACGAATAACATTGGGCCACCATACTGCCTGGATGGTTTCACGTTTGGGCCTTATCACACGCGAGAAGGTCCACTTCAAAATAAACAATGATAAAAATTTATTTTCATTATTTATTTGATTTTAGTATTATGAAAACTGTAAGTTGCTTAACAGTTGTTTTAGGGAATTAAAGGTCAAACAGCCCTCTGAATTGACCCGCTTAATATTATAAACAGTTTAAGTGGGTCGTGTTGGCTTATGTACGACCCACCTAATCTGCTTATAATATTTTTAAGTTTTACCCTATTTAACTTAAATTATATTTAAAAATAATTTTTCATATATAAAATGCATAGATTTTTTAAGATTCACATTAAAATATAAACAGCAATAGAATTTAAATAGAAATTAGTTGGAATATTTATTTTTGACATTAAAATTACCTCTTTAATTTTAAATAAACGGGTCACTCGCCTAATCCACGTGTCAACCCGCAACAAGACACGTTTATATTCGTGTCATAAATGGATAATCCGTTTATGACACGAATCCATTTAACCTCAATCCTAATCTATTTATTTTGCGTGTTAGACGAATTATGTTTACATATCGTGATCCATTTTGACACCCGTAGTTAGATCATCGGTAGATCACACAAATTATGCTTTTTTTTTATTACATTTTATCCTCATAATTTATATCTTTTCGAAATTTAATTTTATGGTTGGAAAATTATTCGTAAACTGTTTGCTTTGTCAAACGTTATAACCTAAGAATTTCAATTTTAAGTTTTATTCATTGAAAGTAATTAATTGACTCATATTTATTAAATATTATTTTCCATATTGATTAACAAAAAATTATACAATTTTAAAATTGTATAGTTTGGTATGCGAAAACTATATAAAATTATATAATTTGGCAAAATATTATATGTATATTTTGGATACTAAAATTATAGTATATATATTATTGATTATTACGAGATAATAAATTGTGTGTTGAATATTAAGTGGTAGACTGTATACATATTGAATCAATTACAAGTTATTAGATTTGAATCAATAAAATAGTTGAATTGTTATATATATGTATATGCATTGTAGGGATATTTATATCATTTCAATGTCAAATTTTATTAATATATTTTTATTTCCTAAGAATCTAAGAAATCAACCAAACACAATTGCCTATACTTTCTGAAAAGAAACTTCTCCGAAATTGTACTTTGCGGAAGGTGCACTTCCCAAAATTATGTCGATTTGAGCCAAACAAAACCTGGAATCTGTGATTGATTATAATTTATGTTTGGTGGTTCAAGTTATTGATCTTTCAAATGATTTCATGTTGAAATTCGTAGCAAAACAGTTGGGGGACTTTGTTGGAGTGTTTGTGGAGTATGAACCTAATAATGATCTAGGGAGTCTAGAGAAAGTATATGCAAATTAGGCTATTTGTGGATATTCGAAAGCCCCTTAAAAAATGGAAGAAGATTAGATGCTCTAACGGTGATACTTATTCTGTTAACTTTAAATATGAAATATCAATTCAAAATGTTAAAAGATTATTTCAATATCTAATGTACATATGATTTTTTATTTTTTACTCTAGTTGCTATAGTTTTTTTTTTTTTTTTTCATCTAGATATCTTATTATGACTTTTAAGTATTTAGTAATATAGATAATTTATATTGTTATAATATGCATAAAAATTAATACAACATTATATACAAAGAAATTAAATAATGAGTACAAATAGCACGCAACATATTTAAAAAAAATCCTAATATTAGTGGCAGTGAAATATCAATTTTTTTTTTTTTAGCATTTAAGGAAGGGATTTGAAATTAAATTTATTGTTATATTATATATGCACTTACTATCAGGTTCTACTATGGTGCGCAATCACTGACGGAGGGATGTGGTGCTAGCGATGGTCCTCACCCCTTTAGTAAAAATTTTTTAATTTTATCCCTTAAAGGCTTAAAGTATAAAAATACTCCTAACTATACAACTTATTGCAAATCACCCTAAAACAACTTTTGTACCCCGCGCACCCATTTGAATATTTAGATATATTGACACTCTAGTTTAATTTTTAAACCATAAAATGACAAATGATATTCGGTTCGACAGATTTACCTCGGGTTAGCTTAACCAAATGAACCAAAAAACTCATTGTGTTGGTATAATTTCCTCTAACCCAAAAATCTCTGTCTTGCAAACGAATGCCCAAAAATCTAACTTAGTGCTTGTTCTCTCTCTCTCTCTCTCTAAAATGATCTTCATTGTATTTGAGTTCAACTCCTTTGTTAATTCCGGTTATCCGTAGAATCCCATAATGTGATTATGTCGGCATGAAATTCTAGGAAAGTATTCATCAATTTTACAAAAATTCATCAACTCATTTAAATATTTCTAATTTTCTGTTGAAAACTAATGGAAAAAGGTTCAACGTACCGTTTTAACTTGAATCAGATGTTCAAAATGCCCCAAATTTAACTTTTTGGTTAATTTACTCCACAACTTAGCAAAAGAGGCTCAATTTGCCTATTATTTGGCTTGTCAATGCGCGTGGTCCTATGGAAAGGATATAAGCAAGTAACACCCTATTTGAAGTTGTTAGTATTGTTAAAAATAGAGTCTCAACAAAAAAAAAAAAATGGTGAAATTTGGTATTTGGTGGGATTTGAACAAAAAACAACTCATCATAAAAATTATTTCACTCAAGTTTCACCTCTCTTTCGTGGATCTATATGCAAAAAGTATATGGCTCTGCCTCTGTTGGTTCCTTGCCAAGCTTGGAGCGCACTATTAATGAAAGAGTTTGAAATGTCCAGACACTAGTTTAAATATGCTCCTCTCAAAACAAACTTCGATGACATCTCATTTCTCACTTTCACTCCACATCTTTACTAGAGTAAAAATAAAGAAATAAATTCAAAAAGCTTGAATGAGATATAGATGCCACCAAAAAGCATGAACTGTACTATGATACAAACCTTTCATCTAACACTAACCCATGTTATATTTACTGGATTTTCTGCTTCCATTTGAACAGATTATGCCTTTTCGCATTCTCTTATTTCAATATCTGTTATATAACAAAACTTGCATCAGGTAATGAAAATCATACCAAAAAATATTCTACTCGCATTCGCAAGTGATAGTGCATTCAAGAACTTGAACCTCTGAGCATGTTCTTTGTAAAGATAAAGAGATATAAAAGAATGGGATATTATGATGATTCCACTCAGGTGAATTCAAAACTGAAAACATAAACCATTTTTTATAAGATGTTAAAAGATTTATCTAGCTCAATTTCACTTACGAGATCTTACTTCTGTAAGGAAGATAATAGGCTGCAATACATGCAATTGTCAAGCAATGAAATTTTAGATTTGTCAATCTCTAAATTTACAACACGCTCAAATACCAAGTGTTGGGATTCTGTGTGCAGAGATTCCAAATGCCAGCATTATCAAGAGAAACTATGATAACAGTCCAAGCTCCAAGGAAAAACTTTAATCAAGCGTGGATAATAGTTTTTTTTTTTTTTTTCATTAAGGGCCTAAATTCCTTTTTGTCTCAGTAATTTTCATATCCATGTAACTATCTTTGTGCACATAGTAAGAGAAATAACTATCTTTAAGACCTATTTTTAGTTTTCTTTTCCATAAAATGCGTGCTCGTATTATCCTCCTCCATTTTCAGTCTCTTGCTCCCATATACCTTTCCAACAAAAAGCATTCAACAACAACCTCATGAAAAAGCATCTGGAATTTGACAATGGAGGTTTACAAGCTATTTTTAAACTGGTTAGAGACAGAACATGTTTAGATGTAAATATATTTATATTTATTATTGGGTTAATTATTGAATTAATTTTTATATGTTATAAATTTGATATTTTTGAAAAATCTAATATTTCTACTATCACAAAAGATTTTAGATTTATTCTAAAATTTTTGTGGAAATTTTTCCAGTAATATATTGATTGTAATTGATTTAAATGTGTTCATATTAATTATTATTGGAAACAAGTATGTGGTGGCTCTCTTTCTTGAAAATTATTGTTAGGGGTTTATGATGGTTTCTGCTTATTCGTTCCTTGTTTAAAAATTGGAAACATATGAGGATGCGTCTAATTCACAATGAGACTATCATGACCTTTGATGATGCTTCGTGATATTTGAAACTTAAAGTTGATCACCTTAACACTATGCAATCAAGTGCAATGGCACATATGGTGTGTGTTCACATGGGACTCCAAGTCAGAAGCGCAAGTGAGGTAATAAAAAGGCAAGGATAAGCAGGCTCAATGAGCCAAAAGGGCTAAGCAATACCAAATTGAAAAAAACAAGTGTCATAAGAAGAAAAACATTGTGAAGGTCAAATGTTTCAACAATGGCAGTAAAGGCCACTATGCTAAGAATTGCATTCGCCTAAGAAGAATGCATATTATATTTACTCATATGTGAGTTAAACTTCAATTGCTAATTTGGTTCACTAACAGAATATCATCATTTGAGGATTGTAGATTCTAAAGTAGAGACCACATGATGAAGGATCATAAGCTGAAGACGAGGTTCAAACTCTTATTTTTATTCTCAAAATTGGTTTATTTTACTTTGAATACTCGTTATTTCAGGGGGCAACATTTTATTTTCAAAATAAATCAGCGAATTTTAAAAAATGGTCTCTTACTTTGGTAAGAGTATTAAAGGAATTGCCGCCCTCTTTTAAGGAAAATATTTTGTGATGAATCGAATAACTCATGAAAGGAAAATGATCCATAAATCGAAGTCTAGGTAAAGAAGTAAGGTATGAACTCGGGAAGGCATTGGGCATCCGGATCATCCGGTTTAGGACCGACCTTCATAGTTTGTCCATTTAACTATTTTAAAGTATTGAGATTGACTTAATTGAGATGTAAAAAAGATTTTAATGCAATTTGATTAAAATATGATAT